GTTGTGTGACTTTGACGACTAGGTAGTGAACAAAGCTCCGAATAGCCTTCCTTTGATAACGACCCGAGTCGGGTAGCTCGGTTACCACATGCCCAAATTTATACTCAACAAAATGGCGCCGTTGCCGAGGAAGGCGAGTAGGACGCCAAGTTTACTATCTAGTTGTCCTTTGTTTCCGTGTTTCTCTTGCTTTTTGTGGATTTTGCTCGTTTTTGCATGTTTCTCTTGATTATTTGCTTATTTTCTATTTCTCTTGCTTTTGCTTTCGTGCCCGTGTAAATATTATGTGTTTTTAGTTTCGCTTTTTGTTATTTTCTCTCTTGCCTCGTGTGCCTTGGGTTGTTTTTCTTGTTCTTGTGCGAGGTATTACGGTTGAGGAGCCCGGATGGATCCCTATTCTCATTATTATGTCGGGAGCTCATTTCGTGGATACCCCGACAATTTTCAAAGGGAGATGAACTCACTTGGCCCGAGCCACCCTTATTGCACAGCCCAATGCGATTATTATGATCACTATCCGGCTTATGACGAGACGCCTCTCTACTATCTTCCACCTCCCGGTTTATATGATGTTATGCCTCCACCCGAGCTGACTCGGGCCCCTCCAACCGAATTAGAAAAGATCGTGGCAAAATTGGAGGAGGACGCTCAATCCCTTCGTGCTTCATTGGCCTCCCTATCTGAAAAAGAAGAAATCGAATCCTTCACTTCTCCCTCTCCGGCATTTGAGCACCCATCGGTTGGCCAACCTCGTTCATCTAGTCTTGGAGCTTCATTTCATTCCGAGGTTGGGCCGATCGATCGTCACCAAGAAGTTTTTGCGAGAACTCAAGACGCACTCGCGAGCCTCGCGTCGATCATCGAGGAGTTCAATAGTTGGAGGTGCATCCCGATTCCTTCCGCTCTCCGTGCTACACTTGAGAAGTTCGACTCCACCGTGGTGTCTTTCCTCGACTTGGATTCATCTTCCATTCCGCTCGGTAGATATTCTACTCTATCGGCGAAGCTTATTCGAGAGAGCACTCGATTAGAGAGCGAATTTCGAGGTATGGTGGATCGTTTTGTTTCCTTGAAAGAGAAGGGCCTCACTCTCGTGTACGATGGGACTCAACCTTTAGATACGAGTGAGGACGTCGATGAGCTTATTTTCGAAGAACTTCCTCCTTGTGATGACGTGGACTTGCACTCTACACTAGGTACGTCAAAATCTTCTTCTGTTGTTGGTGCTTCGGGTTTTGATTCGATTGTTGAGGAGGAGAGTATGGTTTCGGAAGTTGGTGTTGAGGATGGATTGGAAGATAATTCAATTGAGGATTTGAGTGAGCCGAGGGGTAATGAAGGTGTTGGTGATGATGAGGAGGAGGATGATGATGGTAGTGAGGAGGAATCCGAGCATTTAGATGATGTTGTTGAGTCGGATGTGCCGTGTGCGGATGAGATGCCTTGGGATGTTGAGTATAAGGTGGTGCCCATGTCCTTTGGGGCGTCGTTTCATATTATTGAGGATCATGACCATTTGGAAGAGCTTAGTGTGCCTACGCTCGTGCTCCCGATGCTTGAGCTTGATGAGTACACGTTCGAGATAGTGGAAACGATGCCCGGGATTGATTCGACATGCTCCACGGATATTTTTATATTTTCGGAG